CCTTTCCTCTCCTTTCCTCTCCTTTCCTCTCCTTTCCTCTCCTTTCCTTTCCTCTCCTCCCCCCCCTCCTCCCCTCCTCCCCAACTTGGGAAATTAGGCACCCATTGTTTTCCCTTCTGGGACATCTCTTCTGAGTGAAAACAGCAAGGAGGCCATGATTTTATAGGTCAAAACAAGCCACTTGTCAAATTTTACTGAGCTGAAAGAAATAAAGGGGAAAAAAACAGTCCACCTTTCATCATTCTTTTGCTGAACCTTTTCTTTCTTTCTTTCTTTCTTTCTTTCTTTCTTTCTTTCTTTCTTTCTTTCTTTCTTTCTTTCTTTCTTTCTCTGTCTTTTTTCATTCCTTCCTTCCCTCCCTCTCACCATCCTCTTTCCTTCCTTCCTTTCTTTTTCTGTCTGTCTTTTTTCATTCCTTCCTTCCTTCCCTCCTTCCCACCATCATCCTTCCTTCCTTTCTTTCTAAAAGGCATTTCACCACTCTGCTACTCAACTCGGAGGAAAAAACCTCTTCTAGTCAGACTGCTTCGAAGCCTAGAACAAAATGGTATCCAGAGCGAAATTGAGGCGTCTTCCAAAGTACATAACAACCACTCGGAACAGTTGTGTAAGATCAGAGCACTTGTGTAATATCGGATGGGGAGGTGGCCTCCCATATTAAGGGCAGACTGAGGATGACATCATCCGCTCTTGCCCTGCACCACCGTAAGTGGTGTGTCCTTGAGATGTTGGGCAAGCAGGAAGTGCAAATCAGTCCAAAGACAGGAGATCCGACAATGTCCAGGGCTTATTCTGAACTAGTCCAAAGATCTTACAGGGAAATGTTCTTTTTCTTCTGCAGCGGCCTAGATTCAAATATGCATAATCTGAGTTTGGGCTGTTTTCAACCTATGTCTCCATGAACGTCACAGTAGATATGTAACATAAGCAAGCCACTGAATTTTAGGCCTGAAAAGGGCAGAGCAAGGAAGGGCTTTCTGCCCCCCTCCTCAACTCCTCCAATTCTTTGATACATATTTAGCTACACATCAAGGATTTAGGAAAATGTTCATATTGTACCCCGATATTTTAAAAACCATTTCACACTTCAAGATCACCGTCTATAGAGAGTCTCCTTTAAACACAACAGCTCGGCAAGGACCCAATTCCAAACACTAACTACATGCAGTAAGTACAACTCTGTAATTTTTTTATTCCACTTTGTGTCAACAATCCTTGCCTGCATTGCTTTAAGATCAATGTAAAATTCTGAGGGTTCTTTTCAATCAATATCAACCTGAACATAACCGTTAAATATATTGGCCCTGAGATTTTTAGGTTTTCTCTTGTCCTAAACTCTCCCAGGCTGAATGTGAAGCTATGCACTATCTTTCTGTAGAGATTCTCAGTCATCCAGGTATGGCTGTCTCAAAGGTGCTTTTTCAGGAGTCAACTGGACTTTCTTAT